TTTGTCAAAGACGAGGTGGCTAAGTATGTCTGGAGTTGTTTCTGCATCTTCTAATCTGGTCCAGTGATCTTCAGGTCTGTTCAGGAGAATGTTATTCAATTTCCATGTGATTATGGAGTTCTTGTGGAATTGGTTTTGTTTTGTTTTTGTTTTTTCTTTTGCTTTTGATCTCCAATTTCATTGTGCTATGGTCTGCCAGTATTCAGGGTGTGACTTCCATTCCTTTGCATTTACTTAAGCATGTTCTGTGAGCTAGCATGTGATCTATTTTGGAGAATGACCAGTATGCAGTTGAGAAGAATGTGTATTCTGATGTGGGGTAGAACACTCTGCAGACTTTTACTAAGTCCATTTGTTCAGAAGTTTGGTTCAATTCTAATTCTTCATTGTTGATTTTTTTTTTTTGGTCTAGTTTATCTATTTATTTATTCATATTTCTTTAGTAGCTGCTGGATTAATTACTCATGGTCCTGTGCTATTTTTAAGAAATCTCTGCAGTCCTGTCTTCTCTGTCTGATATTATGTCTTTACATGGGCTCTTTATGCTACATATACTTTCAGTGAAGTTTTTAATCTAGGATATCTGTTTGAATCTGCTTTATGGGTTCTATTTCTTTCCTATGCTGGGCATTCATGGTTTCCATCATAGTCCTGAGCTCCTCTATATTTTTATCTGTTTCTGTTCTAGAGTCTCTAACTGTATCCTTCATTTTGGTCACCACTCTGTAGTTATCTGGGAAGTTATTTTTCCTTTCACTTTTTTCTGTTCATCTGTTTTATTTCTCTTCTAATCAGTTCAAAAGTCCAGATGGTTGACTTTCAAGTTGTTCAACCTTACTGCCCCTGGATTTGCCTTTGGTGAGCTGGAAGTCTAGATTTGTGTTTCGTTTGGGTGTCTTCTCATCTTTATTTTTTTGTTATTGATATTTTTGGTTTCATTCTTGATTTGGTCTTTGGGTTTTGAGTCTATAGTGACCCTTAGGCAATCTCAGTTTTGGTATATCAGGAGGGACCACTAATTAGAACAATCACACCACCTTGGCCAGAGTAATACAGTCAGCATCAACAATAGCATCAAACACAGCTTAGAAAATGACAAATTGTCATAATTATTAATCTGTAAGCTTTAACCACATGAACTAGACTTGTGATTATATATCAAAGTCAAGGGCCCACCAGAAATATGTTTGCAGAAAATGAACCCTTCAATATAGTGAATTTACCCTCCAGGAAGAAGACTTAGAAGGAGTTGGTGGGGTAGTGAAATAGCAGGCAAGGGAAAGTTTAAAAGTAAGGCTAGGTGACCCAGGAAGATAAACTGTTGAAGCTAGGAGGAAAAGAAGGAAGGAACAAAAACAAGAACAGAATGAACTAACAGCAATAGGAAAACTAGAAACTATTATGCTCTTATAAAAAATAATAATCAAGAAAAAAAGACAAAAACAGGAATAGGAAAGGAGAGAAATGAAGAAGACAAGAAGAGAAAAAGACAAAGGAAAAAAAAAAGTCCCCTTCAAGGTATGTCTCTGCTGTCACTGGTGGACAACATGGGCTGCAGCGTGTATGATCCTAGTTGATTATTCTCAGTGAGAGTCCACTGGCTCAAGTTGGTTTCTGGCTGCGAGGCCAGAGTGGAGCTTCCTGACCTCTGAGGGTTTGAACTCGGCACAATTCTCTTGCAGGTTGGAGCCATCCCTCCTCCACAGCAAGTCTGTGTTCTGGTAGGAGGTGCTGATGCCAACCACTCACCAACCGCTGTAGTCTGCTGGGTCTTTATTACAGTGACGCTCATTGCTTTCCTCGTAGGCTTCAATTCTCAACAACCAACCTTGGAGAGGCCCTCTCTCTACTGCTCACCACTCCACCATCTTTCCAAGCTCAGAGTTATGGTCCTTCTGCTCTCCTGTTGTTTGGATCTGGCCAGTTGGCATAGGTGGTTGGCACCTGACATATTTTCATTTTGTGCTGTCATTATAACTGGAATAGATAAGTCCTTTTGCCATATACAGTTTGGTGCTTTGTCTATTACATATGGTTTTCTATTATTGGTCTACAGGTATCATAGGACTGATCCATGTCTTGCAGTCCACCTCTCTGCTTAAAGGTAGATTGCATTCTCACTAAACTAAAGATCCAAAGAGACTGAAGCCACTGGAGTTTGTAGGTCAGAGTTCCAGAGAAAGGAACTACCTCCTGAGAGTCCCAGAAATCTTCCTCAGGTCACCTCACGTGTTTTGGCTATTAGTGTGTGAGTTGGATGAGATTACATGATTCAGGTTAATATCCAGGGAACTATGAACTGACAGTTACTAAGGGTTTGACAAGGCCTAGAGACTCACTTTTTGACCAGAGTGAAAAGACCTTGTGAATTCTCTGGCTATTCAACGGACATCCAAGAGAGGCCAAACCTTTGTTGAAGAGCTCTAGACCATAAGCCAACCTTAAGGATCTGGCTGATGTACTGACCGTTCATTGCTTCAAAAGGTTTTACAGACAGATTAGAAAGAAAAAAATCCAGACAGAATGCCCAGAATGGAGGTATAATGAAACAGAAAAGTATAATTTATAACCAGGAGAAAAATTAGACATTGGAAATAGATACATAAATGACAGAGCTAACATACAAGGGCTTTTTATAAAGTTATTATTAAAATTTTAAAGGTTTTTATAAAATGTTAATATAATAGAGAAAGATACAAAATGAACCACTATAGATACAGCCTTCTATAGAGTAAAAATTTTTAAATGAAAAATTTTCTTTATAATCTCAATATCAGTTTAGATACTATTAAAGAAAATATCAATGAATTTAAAGACAGGGCTGTTGAAACTAAATCACAAAGAGCAAAAAGACTGAAACAAATGTGAATAATATCTCTGTTGACCTGTGAGACAGTAATAGTAACTGTTTGAAGTACTAGATTGGGGGTAAGGGAAAGAAAAATATATATAAGAAAAAATATCCCAGAAATATTATAAATCTGTTGCCATATACAAACCCACCAATTCAAGAAACCCAGCAAATCTCACGTAGGCTAACAAAGCCCATTATAATCAATTTAGAGGGGTAAAAAAAACAAGAAAATATGAAAAGCAGCCAGAGTAGAGAACACACGTTACAAACGGGGAAAGAAAGATAAATGGCAGTGCCTTCTCATCTAAAATAGTGCATGTCAGAAAATAGTGGAAAAGATTTTCTTAATGGGGCTACTTGAGTGCTGTAAATAAAACTATACACGCTTCCCACGCCTCCTGTCTCCCTTACCTTAACCTAATAGTGATCCCTATGACATTTATCATCATATAATAGATTGCACACCATATTTGTGTTTGTATCCTTTGTTAGATGTAACCTTTTCCCTGAGTTGTTCCTTGGTATCTTAATTTAACATCTGGAAACATCTTTCACATAATAGCTATGTACTTACCAAATAATCTGTTGAATAAGCAAATGAGTAAACAACAGTTGTTAGTATGTTAGGATTCTCCAGAAAAAAAGAAACAACAGAGAAGAGGAGGGTGCATGTACTTATAAAATAAAGACAGAGGAGTTTAAGGAATTGACTGATGGTTCTAGAGGTTTGGGAACTCTTGCCAGGCTGGAGACCCAGGGAAGAACTGGTTGGTTGAGTTCAAAAGGCAGTTCTGCTGGCTGAATTCCTTCCTTGTTTGGGGAAGGTTTGCCTTTGTTCTATTAAGGCCTTCAGCTGATTGAATGAGGACTATGTACATTGTGGAGGAAAATCTGCTTTATTCTAAGTGCACTCATTTAAGTATAATCTCATCTTAAAAATACCAAAACCATCTTGAATAATGTTTAACCAAATACCTGGGCACTGTGACCTATTCAGGTTGACATAAAGCTAACCATAATAAGGTTGTTGAAAAACAAATTCTCATACACTGCCACTGGGTAACAGGGGAGGTTGGTAAACTACTAAAAATGTTGAATATGTGCATATCTTACCAAGCAGTTTTACTTCTATTTCTATATGCTAGGAAGAACTTCAGGTTTCAAATAAGCATGTTCAATAATTTCGTAAAGAAAAATGTCATAGGGAATAATGTAAATGTATAACTGTGGGAGAAAGGATCAATTGTGATATATATATTCCTGGATGGAGCTAGTGTACAGTGATTACAGCAAAGTAGATTTACATATATCAACATAACTATAAAAGTTACTGAATGCAAAAAGTTGCAAAAGTATACATAGATTAATAGCACTTACCAGTTTTAATAATGCAGAACAATATATTGTTTGTTGCATTGGATTTTTGTTATGATTCTTTTTGCTATCTAAGGTTCTGCTGTTTCATGCTAAAGAATGTCCAGAAGCACAGGCCTTTAAACTCTGAGATTTTATGGCACTGGTGACTAAAGATACATGTAGAATTGTTCAGCAGAAACTTGTTAATGTAGCCAGTCTGAAACAAAGTGAACACTCACTGTTAATTCCTACTCATTTAGAATGCTAATTTTAAAAATAGGTAATCCACGAACAAACATGTACTTCAAGGATGTGGATGTTCAGAGTGACCATTTGCATATATTCCTATTTTAGATGAATTAAAATAAAAATCACGTTGAAGCCATCATGACATTCCGTTGTACTTATGGATTTTTTTTAACTTAAATAACTTGCTGTATATTTATTTCTTCAGCTGTGATGATTAAGAGAGAAATAAGTTGAAATTTATGTTCTTTTTATTAAGTTTCTCATCAGATCATAAGTTTGGAGTAAAGACACTACATTTGAAGTTAACCTTTTTGGGGGGTGGCGGAGCAGGGTCTCACTGTGTATTCCAGCCTGGCCTTAAACTGACTCTATATCCTGGACTGGCCACAAATTCATGGTAGTCCTGCCTCAGCCTCCCAAGGGCTAGATTACAGGCGTGCACTACCACACCCAGCATCCTTAATTTTTTACTTAATATTTAACAGCCTTCTCACAGAACATCGAATGAGACCCCTGCGCTGTTTTTCTCTCTCCTTCACAGTTATCTGATGATGGTCGCTATGTCTTATTATCAATAAGGGAAGGATGTGATCCAGTAAACCGACTCTGGTACTGTGACCTACAGCAAGAATCCAATGGCATCACTGGTAAGTTATTTTTTGGACATAGATTCCTGTGTCCATTCCTGGAAGTGCCATTAAAAAGCAGTTATTTGGTCTTTTGATTGATTTCCGAAGAAACTGTCTTCCATTCTACCACATCATCTCAGTTATTATGATCTTTTCCCTTTCACTACTGTTCCATGGAATGAGAAAAAAATTGGAGGAAGCCAACTCTTAGCTTTGCATTTTCTCTAAATTGAAGTTAAACATATTTTCTGTCCTGGAGTGTGAAAATATCCTGTGCATATTGCAGATGAGAAGTGTTAAGAAGCTGGCGCATTTACAACTGTCTAGATATAATGGAACAAACTGTCACAGGAAAGGAATTATTAGACCAGTGAGAATTTACAGATTAACAGGTAATCATACAACTGTTTAGTACTGAGCTAGATACCCTGTAACAGCCTGGTTTTCTTCCTGAAGCCGTTTGTGTCACCGTGGTGAACATAAAACCAGCCAGCTACAAAATCTGAAGGTGCTCATTTTAAAAATGTAATCTTCCAGCATCTCTATGGTATCAACATTGGCATCAAGCATGAAAGCTTTTCAGATGCACAGTTTATTATGCCAATGATCCTAGGCCCTGAAACTGTCAAATAGGCTGACACCCAGATAAGGACATGAAATTAATTATACCATGGCCCGATTAATGTAAAAATAAGTATATTTTAGAGGTACTTGGCACAGATTTCTAAATATACAATACAGAGTGCATTTCATAATAATTTGGATACCTTGTTATTCATATCTAATCTATATTTTGTGAAAGTATTTACTTGTGATCAGCATTGTATTTTTCAATTTGAGACAAATTTACATGCTAACATTCTGAGATGTTACACAGCACCATTCACACATATAGGAGGGTGGAGTCCATTTTTATTCTGGTGTTAAAGGTATATCCATTTAATAAAGCTATGTACAGTGGTACTACGGTTCATGGAAGCTTTTGTTTGTGGACAGTTGGTTCACAGACAAAAGCATTTGGCCAAATTTTGTTTTTGTTTGTCAACTCTGCATCGGATGATGAATACAACCACAACTATCTTTCCTGCACAAACACGAATGCACCTTCTTTTCCAGAATCATGGAATGAATTAAATGCGTGAACTGAGACACCACTGTATTTTCTTCTATTAAAAAGATGTCAGGCAGGTTGGGGATTTAGTTCATTGGTGCTACCACCTGCCTAACAAGCGCAGGTCCTGAGTTTGATTTTTAAAAAAAAGATCTCAGGAAAACTCCACAAACCATAGCAATTTCACGTGCTCTGGGAGAAACAGTCACCTCCCAGGAATTGTTTGGTAGGTCTTTGTAGAACGGGGCAAAATGGAGTCTGAACGGAACTGTGCTGCTTGCTGTCTTGTACACGTTCCTGTGTGGTTCTGAGATGGTAGAAAGGGCTTGTCCTCTCTGCTTTATAAAAAATTCTAATTATAGTGTCCTTACTCGAGAGTAGTGTTTTCATTTTCTGTTTATAAGTTCATTGTGTCTTTAAATTATTAAACCGGATTATATTATTAAAAGATTCAAGTTAAAAAATACAAATTGCTTAGCTTCAAATAAGAAAATTCCATCCATATATTTACATATTGAACTGCTTTTGCTATATCCATGTTAATAAGAGTTTGGAGTCTTTAAAGAAAGAAGCGATAGCAAAACTCAAGGAAGCCTTTGTTTTCTCCTCAATGTCTTAACCCCCCCCCATTTTATTATACAGTGTTAGGGATTAAGAGAAAAGTGTGATACACAGAGATTGAGATTCCCAAAGGAGTGTGCGCAGAGGTGTGCTAGGGCCTCAAAACAAAATTTTACACAGTGCGATTGTGAATGAGAAGTTTCTGACAAACCCTAAATGGCTATCTGAAGATACAGAAGAAAAAAGAAATTTATTTTGTGAACTGCCCGTTCACAACCCAAGTCACGTGCGATCTCATAATAGGTGGGGATCTCTCCCCACCAGCAAGTGTGCAGTTAGTGCTGTAGTAGACGCCAGCTGGATGTCTCCAGTTCAATTCAGTGGCGACACTGTCTACCCCACGAAGGCATCGGATCCCACAGCTAGGGGCTCAGTCCCACTTAACGCTCAGTTACAAGTCCGGGACTCTGAAACCTCTGACTGTTGGCTGCCAAGTGACGTTCCACCACCCCTGCATTGTGAGTGATTAATTTGCTCAGAGAACTTAGGGAAATGCTGTACTTTGATTTCTTAGTTTATTATGTGTTATTTTTAAAGGGCATAAATGAGCAGCCAGGTGAAGAGATACATAGGTGAGGCCTGAAACGGTCCCAAGCGCAGCAGCTTCCGTTCCTGTGGCATTGGGGTGCATGCACCATCCTCCTGCACACCTTCCTGTGAGCCTCTGCTTGTAGGGCTCTCTGAACCCTGTTTTGGGCGGTTTTATGGAGACTCCGACACATAGGCCTGGTTGAAGCCTAGAAAGCTGTGTGGAAATGTGATAGGACAAGATGGATCTGGTCTGATGCATAAGCCAGAGTGGAGAAACTAGCGGGGCCTGTCTGTCCGGATTCTTCTCGGGGAGCCCCTCTGTGCAGCGAAATGAGGGTCTGATGATTAGTGCTCAGAGAACTCTCTTGGCTACCTGCAGGGCAAAGTTGAAGGAAGACGAGAGAGAGTATATGTTCAGTTTCTGTGACCTGCCTTGGAGAAGAGAGATTAGCCTGCCTTGGAGAGAAAAAGGAGCAAGGGCAAAGAGGGCAAGGGAGTTACAGAATTGGATCTGAGACCTAAAATACCTCAACGTTATAACAGAAGCCTATGTTTTTCCTTTGTCCTTCTGTGGAGAGAAAAAGGAGCAAGGGCAAAGAGGGCAAGGGAGTTACAGAATTGGATCTGAGACCTAAACAGAAGCCTATGTTTTTCCTTTGTCCTTCTATAGCTGCTTCAGAAACAAAAACAAAAGGTGAAATACTTTAACCTTAGTACTGCAGTCATTTAGGAAATTGCAGAGGCTAGGGGAATTATAAGCCAGGAACCAAAATATAAATATATAGCACAGCTTAGATGCATTCAGATTGTGATACCTTATTTACAAGGTAAGGCAGGTGGTGACCTGCCTTGTGACTCGGTCTTTCTTTGAGGTACTTGAAGTGGCTTTAATGCAGCTTAAAGTGAATAGGTCAGAACTCGGTAAATGTTAACTATGATTATTTTCCAAGTAATTCATAATCATCTCTCTCTCCCCCTCTTTATCTCCTTCTCCCTATTCCTTTCCCTCTCCCTCTTGCCTGAGGAGCTCTAAGATAACTGTCATGTTTTAAGTTCAGATGCTAGGTCTTGGTGTTAACCTAAATTTATTTGGGTCTGTCCCTCTCTGAGTCATATAGGACCTTACATTTCTTGTTATAGTTATTTCTAGATGTTTATGTTTACAAAGTATTGATGGTTTATGAATGTAAGCATCAGAGTAGCAGAACTGTCAGGAAATATATAGTAAGAGATTTATTGCAAGAAATTAGCTTATGTGATTGTAGGGACCAGTTAGGCAAGCCTGAGATCTGTAGAACAGGTACTCAAGCAGGGCAAAAAAGCTGATGTTATTGTCCACAGGTGACAGTTTCTTCTGTATGGCAGCCTTGAATCTGCCCTTAGAGCTTTGCCACTGTTTGAATCAGTCAGGCCTGCCCAGATTATCAAGGATAATCTCCTTTCTTAAACCAGCTAATTATGGACTTTAATCACATCTACAAAACATCTTCATAGCAGCGACATGTAGATTAGCATTTGATTGATTAACTAGGCACATTAACCTGCAACAATTAAATCATGGAGAGTAAGTAACAAACAAATCTGAGGAAATTAATATAATTTAATTTTTTCATAAGGTTAATAAAGTGATCAGTGTTTGCAGTTTGTTAGGGCATCTGGGAAAATAGGTCATGTCCTGTAGATAAGGAGATAGAGTTGGAAGTGATAATGGTTTTGCAGCTGTTGAGCTCAACCTGGGCCTTTGCCAGTGAGGGTTACTGAGTTCCAGGTACAGTTAGAGGCCTGTCATCTTTTTAAAATTCTGACTTTATCAGGATTAAATTTGTGGATAATGTAAACCTCTGGATAGCAGTGCTGGGATTCTGAAAGCTCTTGATTTTGTAGTGATTGACCCAGTGGCTATCACTTTCACCCTGATGTTGAAAAGTAAGTGAATGGGGCCAGCGATTTAGCTCAGTGGTTCTGTCTCCTGCCTCATAAGCACAAGGTCCCAAGTTCGATCCCTGGTACAAGAAAAAAAGTGATTTACACAGGTCAAGATTAGTGAGATCTCATTTGTTTCTGGATTTGTGGCTGCATCATTTGTGAGTCAGTAGCATGATTATGACTCATAGAGAAAGAAGTTGTCCCTTAGTATCCACGTGGGATTGGTTCCATGACCCCTGCTGGATACCAAAACCCACAGGTGCACAAATCTTTATATAAAATGGCATAGTGCAACATTGCACATAACTTATACACATCCTCCCATATACCTTTAATTATCTCTAGCTTAACCGCTAATACAATGTAAATGCTATATAAATAGTTGCTGTAGTGCAATGTTTAGGGTAAAATGTCAAGAAAAATAAAGTCTATACATGTGAAGTACAGTTTCAGTTTTTTCCTAGTATTTTCAGTCAGGGTGGTTGAATCAGAGATGTGGAGCCAGCAGATCGGGAATGATGACTCTACTGTGTGTGTGCAAAACTAGTGAAGAGATTCAGTAATTTTAGTCTCTAAGCGGGAGACAGCCGGTGGAAATAGTCACGATTAAAACTACTTAGTCTCTTAATTTCATTTAGATGTTATAGGATTGTAATTACAAAGCTTTAAATCAGTTTTGAATTCTAACTTCAGCTCTAAACTAAATAGTTGGTGACCTTGGTTAAGTAGTTTTTTCCCCGCTCCCCAAGATTTCATGTCTGCAAGTGGGGAATTAGAAGTAAAAATGAAAATGCTTAGAAAGGACTAGCAGAATTCCTGGTATTCTCCA